AGTACCGAGTCGAGGAGCAACGCGATTTTTCACAGAGGAGAAAAGACAAACGTGAAATAACCAATCCTTCTCACATTCACTCCGTTATTGATACGACGTGAAAAAATTATATGGAAGATGTTAAGATTGTCGTGAATGAATATTAAATATCATTTTTCGATGATTTAAATACCCGGGACGATATTTCGTTAAAATTTAAATCGATGTTTTTACCATCGATAAAAAATATTGACGTTTAATTTAATCTCTCTTAGACTACGATTATTTTGTTTGTTGTTAAATTTTTTTATTTTGTTTTTGTAACATGCTTCGAAATGCTGAAATATATATTCATGCGCAAATCACGTTCTGTTGATGTTTTAATCCCGAAAAGTTATCGGCGAAGGTTATCGAGATGAAAATGAAAACAAGTCCAAGTTTGTAATAAATAGGGAATGGAGACTCGTTGGCGTGAAGACTCGTTGCTGTTGGTCGCTCGTTGGTCGCCGTTCGTTTCTATCTTTCCTCCTCGTGATAAAAACGATCGAAGATAGAGGATTAAAATTACAAGCGTGATTCGATTCGCGTGAGCCTAAAACGATGAGCTACTGGAATACAGTGTTCGTGGTGCTTTTGATCCATCTGATTTTCGTCAGCGGTTGGCCCTTGTTCAATGTCACTCAAACTCCAATGAAGTCGGTCAATCGGACGAGTGCTGCATTAAATAAAAGAAATTTTTCTGTGATTTCCAATTCTGAAAAGTGCAAACTAGGAGAACAATTGGATCATCTTAACAAATGTAAAAAAATCATAAAAATGAATTCAACGAAAACAAGTTTATTCATAGTAACATAGAAATAATATAGAAAGAATATCGCCCGATAACAGTTTATATTGTCATCGATACTCAACGTACCGATAAGATACATCATTTGGCCTTTTCCACACCAATTGTGCGATCAAAAATCCATCATCGAGTTAAAACAATCTTTTCATCGATTCTTGAAAATAAGTACCGCGAAGCTATCAGTAGCAAAACGATGAAACGATGATATCATCGGGTCGATGAAGAATTATGAAAAAATTCTCGGTCAGTGTCGATTCCTCGCGATACTTTGCGATTAATCATTTTGCAAGAGTTTTCGATAACGTTGCGCGCGTCAAAGATCGATCGGATCGCAATTGGTAGCTCTTAGTAGCTTTTCACCGTGTGAAATAAACTTGACAAAGAGGCTCGTTCGTAGAGAGACAAATTTTACATCGTCTTGATCATGAAATTGTGGTGGATCGTATCGATGACAGTGTTCGTATTGTTTCTGTCCTTTTGCACGACCCGAGTCGTCACTTTGCCGTCAAGAACCGTCGCAGAGAACGTTTCGATGAACGTTTCGACGGACGCGAAATCGTCGAACATATTCGAGAAGAAATTCGTGTCGTTTGATGCAAAAAACAACAACACGAAGAACCTTCAGAAAGGGGCCTTCATCAATGTGCCGGTCAATTGTCCATGGGACAAAGTGAAGGTCGGGAATCGCTGCAGGGCTTTCTTTTAAGTAAGTTGAAATTTTATCTCATCTTAAATAAACGCGTCTGAAAAAGAAAACGGAAAGAGAAATGATCCACGGTTAGGTAATTGTATCATTGCAACGTTTGATATTCGTTCCTTTTTTTTGTAATTCTTTTGTAATTGTAACGGAGAGAGAAAAAAGAAATAGAAATAAAAATCAGAGGACCGATAAAATTGTCGTGGCAAACGATTACAAACAGACGGGTACGATTATTCTTTGGAAAATGTTCAATGGAAATCGTTCAATGAATTAACAAGGCAATGATAAATGATATCGTAATTTTTTAATTTCTGTTGATTACAGATGCGTCGTTCGTAATAATAATAATAATCATAGCCGCCATTCAATGTCGCGAGTTATAATAAATTTTACGCAAACGCTGACGATAGATCATCGTTTAACTATTATCCTTTTGTTTCCACAGGATTCTACTTCTTTCTTCAGCGTGAAATCGATAAAGAATAAGAATGCGAGCGTTATCTAACGAGTAATGTGGCAATACGAATGAAAGATTCGAAATTTCAATTCTGAATGAAACGAAGAGATAAAGTATCGCAAAGAAATGTTAACACGGTGTCGGATAAAGATAAATTTTGATTTTGAAAAATGAGATTATTAACACAGACGAGATATAGAATACATTTAACATTTGATATATTTTTTTTATTCTCTAAATATTTACATTTTTTTAAGCAAAGATTAAGACATAATTTCGAAAGAAAAATTATGAAAAGATTATATACTGTGTACCTTGTCTCTGATCACGCGGCAAGAGCGAGTCTAGAGAAGGAGAGCAAACAATGGGAGGAGGACAGAGATAGGATAAAAATATGAGAATCAGCGCCATCTCTAGAGTGTCGCAAATGAAACATAAATAAAGATAGTAAATAGTAGAAGAAGGATAGAGATAGAGTAAGAATTGAGAACTAGCGCCATCTTTCGAATATTTTCGGATAGATGTCTTTAGCGTCGAACAGATGGCGCTATTGTTCGATTCTACAATGTCCTACCTTATGTTAATGTTTTTGGCATTCGAGAGATGGCGTTGATGGTCAATTTTTGTTCTATCTCTATCCTCTTCCCACTATTTTCTGTCCTTTCTTTCTATGTTTCATTTGCGGCACTCTGAAGATGGCGCTGATTCCACCATTTTCGTCCTATCTCTATCTTTCTTCTATTATTTGCTTTCTTTGTTTATATTTGCTCTACAAAATATCTAACAATTGTAAGTTGGCAAAAAAAAAAAGCAAAAAAAAAAAAAAAAATAAAGATAAGAATATTTCCAACTTGAATATAACTTTAATGATAAAATATTTTCACTTTTTAGCTTAACGTATAAATGAGTTGTCATTTTCTATTACTAAAAACTTATACTTTTATAAATCTTCAATCATTATAAAAATTACAAATATATTAATTACGAATTTTATAATTTTAAATGTAATATTATTATAATTTTCTCTAAAGAATTTATAACAAAATATTTATCAATAAATTATAACCTAATATATAAAACTTGTCATGATATGTTTTTATTTGCGACGATTCCATTTGCTAATCAAATTATTAAAGGCAAATAAATACATTAATGAATATATTAACGCAACGCAGATATATTACCTGCAAAAAATGTTCATTACATTGCTAATGATTTACGATATCTCGAAAATATCACATACATAATTATCAAATACAAACCGCATTATGAGTGATCAGGATATGAATTGTAACCGCAAATTAGTGCGAATAAAAATGCGTAAAAAAAGGAAGGGGGAATCACGGTAAAAGTAATATATTGCGGGCATTTCTCATTGCCCTCTACATCAGTCTTCAATTGTTGCCTTCACGATTACTTGGTGTAAAACGATAAAATTTAACGAGCAATAATCTATCAAAATCGTTCGTAATTTATGTGTGACGCGATGGCGCCGTTACGTTTCATTTTATTCGTCTTGTTTTTCTGCATTTTCGTCACCATGCACGAATCCAGACCTCTGACATTTCCACAAAGGAAGAATACAAGCGTGAAGAAATGTCCACCAGGATACAAATACATTCGCAACGTGGGCTGCAGAAAACTCATATTCAGTTAAACGTAAAACGGTAAAATACACTTTAAAAAAAAAAAAAAAAAGCTTTCTTCGATGTTTCAATTTTTCGCATTTATTTTCATTCTGTTGCAGTAAAGAGAAATCCGGATAATGAAAAACTTTTGCAAAATTCTGAAATAATTAAATTGTTCAAAGCACGAGAAATTAATCAAAAGAACATCCATTCTTTATATTGTATATTCGGATATTGATTAAGATGTGAATCTAATTTGCATTTATAATTTAACAAACAATGAAATAAATCACAATTTATCGATAAAAAGTTTATGCCTGCTTTTTTCTTTTTTTTTTTTTTGTCTTTTAACAATCTTTGCTCGTCAATTCTAACGTACGAAATAATGCTATGCGATCACATTTACTTTCAAACTCCCCGCGAATTCGAGAGGCGCGCGAGTATCGATGTATCGCGATTCATCTTGCATCGGATGCAGAAAATGGCTGCTCCTTTGGTTTCGGTCCTCGATAGGAAAAACAAATTTTCCTTCACCAAAGAATTGATTACACGTTGCACGTTAAAATTGAAAGAATCTAATCATGACTTTAGAATGAAAAAAATGAAAATTTATTACAATTCGATTGCAAGAATATAGATAACCTATTTTTCATCCTGAACACGCGATTCAACGAAATATAAAAAAATACAAGAATTTTCGTTATCCTAAATCGAAAAAAATATAAAAAAGACTTGCATTTCAACAGAGAGAGAGAGAGAGAGAGAGAGAGAGAGAGAGAGAGAAATAAAGATGAAGTTTGAATTTGACAAAAAAAAGATTCGATGAAAAAGTTTATCCATCTTACCACAGCACGTTGCGGCACGTTGCTATCCTCGTCAAACGAGTTTAACGTAACACCTTGAAGGATTGTTACGTTATGGAGGGCAATTCGTGACATAGTTCGATCTAGCATGCAAATTTATACACCCACGCTTCCTCCAGTCAACCCCGATAATCACGAAAATTTGAGCTAGTAACCCGCATACCGACGAACGGATTCACCGTATCAGAGTCGTAACCCACAACATACCGTTGCACAATAAAGTCTCTTATCATCGATCATAACGATACTATGCGACGGGCGAATGTAAAAGAAAAAAAATATAAAAAAAAAAAAAAATATCATTTTTTCCGCCACGCGGAGAGATAATGCAACATTTATTGACACTTATCATCGAGCGATAACGATCGGTGGTCACAAAATGAAAATGACACTATTATCGGTATATTGCAATCGAGCCGTACGTACGATTCATGATCAGTGTACGTGTACCGGTGCGCTTGCGCGCGTTCGTATGTATGCGGCCAGAAATACGCGCCGAGACGTATTCGCTTCGGCAGTTGATCGCGGCGCGAGCACAGTCGAACCTGCTCAGGTGCGACTTTCCTTCCGTTTTCCTCGTGCATCGAGTGCGACGCGCAAACATCTTAACGGCAAACACGTGCGATTACCGTCTACCTCGCCGCAATTCCCCAAATTTACCGCCACAACTGGGCCTACTTGGCGATCTCTTGGCCACGTGTTACGTTCCAAGTGGCAACAGCGGTGAATATTTTATATGACCGGAGGATAGAACTCGACTCGATTCCGATCCCCCTTTTTCCTTTCTTTTCACGTTTTGACGGTGGAGCACGGACGCCAGACATGCCGTACTCGGTCTACAAATGTAGAAGAACGTTTCTCCACGCGATATGTTCGTTCTCGATTTGTGGACTGGTGATGGCTCAACTGGATACCAGATACCCGGACCAAAGGATAGTGTTCCCCGATCGGGGCGATCCGAGGGCGAGACAAACGGCGAATCCTACGGTGGAGGATGGGCCGAGTGCAGGAGGCGAATCGTTGGTAAATCGATCGCATTTTTTTCATCCGAACGCGTATTGCACGTATTACTTGGCGTACGCTACGGTTCTAGAAGAGTCTGGTTCACGGAGCCGCGTTGCAACACTCCCACGTTTTCACTCTGATAAATAGCGCAATTATGTTATCCCGCGTAGCATCGTTAAAGAGAGCGTACGTGACGGACGCGACAGCGGTAAAAATTTGAAGAAAAAAAATTGATCCGATTGAGTCTCGTGTGCAAAGAGAAAAAAGGAAAAAGATACCTTTGTAACTTTGGCACTCGCGTGTATATTTGTATTTTTTACTTTTATTTTTATCTTTATTTCTTTTTTTCTTTTTTCAATTTTTTCACAACATTATTCAACAATACACTTATTTCGCCGTTTCACCTATCGCTCGTTCCATGTAAAATTTAAAATTCCGCCAACGGGCGATAACAGTTTCCACGAATTTGTCTATGAATAAAGAAAAAAAAAAATTACGCGGCGAATTACGCGTTTGTATTTGCGGTAAATTATGCGGAAATCCTTCTCGATTTTGTTCTCACCGTAATAGCGTGGCCCCTTTTTTTTTTTTTTTTTCTATTATCATCATCGGTGTTAACGTAAGCGATAAACGGAAACGTGGCGGCAATTCCTTTTGTCGACGATAAATGACGATTGATTGTTACGAAATCCTGTGCGAGAACGGGAGTATCGAGACCGTTTTTTCTCCCGCAAAAGATACACGAAGGTCGTATATACCACTAATGTCAAGGATGTATAGAAACGGTATAGAGGCGGAGAGATCGAGACAGAAAAGTGAAAACCTTGCGGTGCACGACACACTTAGGATTCTTGTCGCAATTCCCGTGATTCGTTATGTAGATAATTGATTACCAACAACCAACAATCGTCCGTGCGAATGCCTACTCGATTACTTCGCGAATTCTTTTTTTTTTTTTTTGTAATTTTATCAAAACGATTTATCAATTGGTGTTTATATAGATACGTTTTTATAGAGGAAGATATACGAGCTGGACTTGATAGATATTTATTTATTTATTATATTATATATTTATTTTATTCTATCTTGATTCGTGACGAGAAGTAGAAAAGAGAAATTCAAGTTAATTAGATTAGGAAAGGGACTAGCGCGCGGCGTTATCGTTGCAAAGTGAGAACCATCCTTTCGGTGATCGAGGATGGATAAACATTATTTCGCGAAGATAATATTTGTTTGGTCACGAAGCGATCATTGTGTGCGCGCATATTTCATTGTCACAATAGGGTTATACGATCGAGCGCGAAACGAAGCCAGGTGTGTAACAGACGACCTTACAATGCCGGCGATTAAATTCTTGCGAAGCGTCGAGAGGACGTTCTTGGAAAGTACAATGTCTCGGGACATCGCGTTTCTCATTTATGCAAATTGTGCAACGTGCGTAATACGTTTATTAAAATGCTCGCCGTACCGTTATCGACTCACTCCGCGCTCGTGTTCACAAATATTTCAGCTGGTAAAGAACTCGTCGATACGGATAAATATCGGTCGAAATTATTATCGACGAGATCTGGCCACGTCATCACGCCGTTGAAACGGAAAACGTTCGAAAGGGAAAATGTTAAATGGCGCCTATCGAGAACAGCTCACGTTAACACCGAGGATGCTTCCTAGAAATCGGTTCATTTGTTGATTTTTTTCAGCGTGCACGCGATACCAGCTTGTTTAAAACCTGTTCCAGGTGGAATGGTGAACGTGTGAGAGGTCGAAGAACGCATCGAGTTATACGTTATACACTTTCGTGTCGAACGTTTCGTGCGATTCGGTTTTAAAAATATTTTTTAACAATATTTTAATATTCGTGAAAGTATCGACTTCTTCGATGACTTAAGATCCTGCGATTATTTCTTCATTCACGAGAGCGTTCGCAATCGATGATTCATTGATAAGATATTATCGGAAATACCCCGATAATTACATCTAAAATTATTCTATTCAATTTTTTTTTTTTTCAAATTATCATGTTTCCTTACTAATTAATTCGATTGATAAAATAATTAATAACGTAACACTGAAATAAAAAGATCTTGACGTATTTTCTTCTAGAATAATACGTTATTTGAATGATTAGTTTTCCTTTCATTTCGCATCCCTTGATATTGCGTTGGAAATTCCAAGTAAAAAAAAAAATGAACAAGAACTGGTTAATATGTTCTTTCAAGAGTTGTTTCCGTTTAACAATCACGTAGGTATACAATAACAATACCTGCAGAAATGATAATTTTTCTTTTTCTTTTTTTTTTTTNTTTTTTTTTTTTTTTTTTATTATGGAAACATTCCCATTTTTTTATTATCGATTTTATTTTCGGCTTTATTATCAATCGAACTATTGATTAATTTTACGACACAGAGAAAAATCAAAAAAATTTTCCATCCGATTCGTCCCGAGTTTCTTTTATCCAAAATTCGTGTTATTTTCAGAAATCGCTACAATTAGGCAAGAAAATCAGTTCCATCAATTCGATCGACGATTTCCTTAGATTAGTCAAAGGTGTGCCACAGGATATATCTTCCTTCTCTATAAGCAGTAAGTATGATCTTAAATAACTTATTAACAGGAATTATGGATCTATAGAAAGGAATAGTACGTAAGAAAAACCGGTTGACTCGTGACATTGCGAAAAACAAACATATTGTTACACGACCTTGTAAATTGCACTTTATTCGGATTAAAAGAAAATTACAAAATTGTGCTTAAAAAACAAAAAACAAAAAAGAAACGCCGTGACTCGAAGCATACGATAAGTACAATTCTGACTTCGTAAATTTTTGAATGTTTGAAGAACAAATTATTACGAGTATTAAATCAATTGTAATAGATGCAAATATTGTTCGGTTGGATAAACATCTTAAACTTTATAATATCTTCTACCAATTTTATTGTTCAAACTTAATTATCAGTGAACGTGAGATCATCATTCAATTGATCGTAGCATAAAAAATATACTTAACATAAGTATTTCATAAATTTAAAATCCGCGAGTAACGTTATAGAGACTCGTTATTGCAAAAGTTTAACTTGGAAAGAATTTTTAAATAAAAAAGAAATTAAAAAAAAAAAAACATGATTTTCGCATGAATTTTCTGGAAAAATATCAAATGATATAATAATTTTCTTACGCTTGGAATTTCTCTTTAAACGCCACATCCCTATTATTACTTTTTCAAAAATTTTATTTTTTTAAATTCTTGCAAAGCTCGTTCTCGCTATCCTCGTATATTATCAGATGAATCTGATAATTATAAAGAAACATTTTCTTTTTCTTATCGTTACTATCGTTACTATCGTTACTATCGTTCGCGTTGACCCCTGGTTTATCAAAGACCAGTTTTTTTTCCACGTAATAAGGATTGAATAACTTACAGGGTTCTTTTTCCAAATTTTTTATGAAATCTTTGAGATCTTCGAAAAAATCGGTGTTCTTCAAAAAGCCACCGAAATTGTTCTTATTCGGCACTAATCTATCGCTAATTTGATTGATTTCCTCCAAAGTGGGCAATCTGATCGTAGAGTGTCCAAATCGTACTCTGTCTTTTTCTGTATTTTTTTTATTCGATGATAATTTCAGGGTTGGATGTTCAGTGCTGTACGCAATTTGTAACTTACACGGTCGTTTCCAAGTGTGCACATTAGACATAGGCACGGAATAGGCATTGCAAATATCTATGGTACGATTAAACAAAATATCTGTTATGTTCATTGTGCTGTTCAATCTAGTTACTCCTAATGAAAAATTAAAATTCGAATCACAAAAGATTCCGAAGATTTAAAATGGAATTGAAAGAATGTATCTCTTGCCTCGTTTCCAGTATCTCCGCGAGAATTCCATTTCGCCATAAGCCTCTATGTATTTAGGTGTGCTCAATCCAACGATGACGTTTTCATCTCCTGGATCATTCTCTCTCTTGATAGCTTTGATGGTTGGTGCCATTTCCTCTTCCAATTTTATCCTATTAATGCTCTCCTCGATCTCTTCTGTGCTGGACGTCGAGATCTCAAGCTTAAAAAGATTGAAAAGATCACCCTCGCTCAAATCGTAAGACGAGTCATTCATTGCGCTGATTTCCTTCGCATCGATTTCATTTTGATTAACATTGGTTTCGACGTCACAATTAGATGACGTTTCCATTTCTCGATGGGACGACTCGTCCTTATTATTATCGACGAAATCTTTTTTTACAAATTCTTGATTTTGACGGCAATACGATCGAAACTTGAAAAGTCTACGTGAAAAATCTAACGTTAACATTCTTTTTCCTCGTTCCACGAAATTTTTCTATAATTTCATTTTATATTGTATCTTACCGTTTCAATTTTTTCTTTTTGTAACTGATGTTAGTTGTCGGTACGATGTAGGAGTATATATGTCTTGAATCGTGAGATTCCATAAAGGCAGACACGTTTTTTCTACCTTCGACTATCCATCCAAACCAATCGAGGATCACATCTTCCGAAAGATAATTGTGTATACCGTCAGCGAGACCATCGGCCAAAGCGAAGTAACTATTCGCAACTGAAATTGCTTGTACAAAATTTTCCATTGTTCTCAATTATCTGAAAAAGTAGGATAAACTTATGGCAATGTTTCCAAGAAATACTATTTTTTTTCTTACATCAAACCACAAAAACCACATTGATCTAGACATAATGAAATTCGAGGGAAAAAAAGGGAAATCCTCTGACTACTTCAAGTTGTCACTGAACGGAATCTTCTTCCAGGTAGAATGGGAGAAACTGAACGTTCGAATGCCGAGCGACCAAATCAAGCTTTGTGTATGCCTGAATTACAAACAGTTCCTCTATTAGAAAATGACGATCCATCTATTGTTTATTATCCAACTTGCACACGGATCAAAAGATGCGGAGGCTGTTGTAGTCACTCGTTTCTTTCTTGTCAGCCAACGGCTACGGAAACTCGAAATTTCGAGGTAAGTCACATCTGATTAAATGTTATTTTTATATATATATATATATATGTTATTAATTAATCACGTTATTAATTAATATTTAAAGATTTTTGTGACGGCTCTTGAATCCAGTAATACATTAAAATATCAAGGCAAACGTATTGTACCGATAGAGGAGCATACGCAATGCACGTGTGACTGCAAAATAAAGGAGACGGTAATTTGAGAACAGTCGATAATTGAGATCTTCCTTTTTAAACTGGTATAAGTCGGTTCGCAATCTGCAAATCTTAATGTATAATTTGCGATCACTCCTGTGCAGTAATGAATTTTTGCGATAACTTAATTAGTTTAAATTGAAAGATTCGAATTTTCAATTTTCAAAATGGTTAAATTTTTAAATAGTATAACGATATTCTTTCAGGACTGTAACAAGAAACAGTCTTATGTACCGGAGGAATGTACATGTGTGTGCAACAATATCGATGAACAGAAAAAGTGTAATGAAAGCAACATGAAAATATGGCATCCAGATCATTGTAACTGTTCTTGCAGAGAACTACAGGAGTGTACAACTGGTTTTTATTTCGACCAAAATTCATGCAGGTGTGAACGGAACAACAAGGATTTGTAATACGGGAATAATATCTTTCCTTCCTTGCTGCATTTCTATTATCTTGTATATCTTGTAAGCTGTGCATGATACATCCAATCTTTTTTGGATTTTCTTTTTTTTTTTTTCTTAATATTTTATTTTTCCGCTTATATCGCATAAATTAACATAGCTTATTTTCTTTATATTCACTATTGCATTAAATCAAATTTTCTTCACTAACATTTTTTTTTAAATGCTTTGCTTACTTTTATATTTTATTCGAGTGACATAATTAAAACAGTTAAGATAATGATACTTTCTCATGGATTCATGAATGCACATTCTGTGTTTATTAACAAAATATAAATTTTCCATTATGAGAATAACATATTATCTTAAACTCTGAGTATTTAAAAATATTTTAGATGCCTGCAAATATCTAGTATTTGGTTTACATCCACAAAGGATTCTGATTATAGATTTGGACAAACTCAAAGACCGGGTAATGTATCACCAATAATAATTTCTCTAGATTCAGATGATCCTAGAAGAAAACCTAAACCAGATCCAGAATAATAATTGATATAGATTTTAAAACAATTTAATTATTTATCTTTGTGCCATTTTGTTATACACATAAGTATTGATATTATTTATGTATTAATATTAATATTAGTTATTGCAAAAAATAAGTGAATGTATTTTTATATATCAAAAAATATTGTAATATAAGAAAATACAATTATTTAATATAAATTATTTGTATATATAATTTTTTAATCCTTATTTATAAAAAGTATTTTATTAATTTTTTTTTCATTTAAAAAACATGTACAATTATTAATCTTATTCTATGTTTCTTTAAACTATTTTGTACGTTTCTGTCAAATATAAATACATCGAATATACAATTATTGGTCTTATTATTAATTTTATTCTATATTTGTTTGTTTTAGATTATTTTGTATTCTCATTTAAGGTTGAATCTTGCCTTTTTTTAGCATTTTGGGAATATAAAACCACTGCTTTGTTAACTCTCAAAACAGCTCTGTATCTTTCACTTATAGATGAGATTGATTCAGATATTTCCCCTAAAATATTGTACAATAAATTATATAAGTTATTATAAATGAAATAATTATTTAAAATTATATACATAACCTCACTTTTATTGTGATACGTAATCAATTTAAAAAATTTAATGAAGATAAAAAGTTTGTAAAATTTGTTTAAAAAAAATATTTAATAATATATGCAAAATATTATCAAATAAATAATTTTACTTGTAAAAAATATTTACTTACTAATACAAGATGTAATATCTGTTATAGTTGATTCTTTTGTAACTTTTTGACGTTTTATTAATTGTTCCATTGTTGTAATATAATTACAATTTATTTTGTTACGTTTTTTTTATAGTTACAGTTAAAATTAGATGCAATACAACAAACAAAAATTCTTTTTCAGGAATGTTTTTAGCTAAATGGCGCGAAGAATACTAAATCAGTCGATCATATCTACTACAATAATGTACACACAAAACATATGAAATATTTAAATGTTATTTGAATTTAAAATTCATTTATGGGTGTGACAAGAAACATAAAAAACTATTATAATTCGTTTTACAATAAAATTTGCAATAAAAAATATTACCTGTTTGATTATCCTTGTACAGTAAATTATAAATATAAAATTTTTCTTTATTGTCTTATATCCTAAAGATCTCGAGACAATCTTTGTACTGAATGTGACATTTAACGGATTTCTTAAAAGATTTTTGTAAAATATTTACTTTCATGTCAATATTATTTTTTGTATACAAAAAATGTTATCAACAATTGAGTTGATGCTACTGTATACTATATTTAACTGCCATCTGTTCGATAAAATTGAAACATTTTACTTTCATTCATGTACTACAGATGTCGTCACATACACGATATAACTAAAATAATCAAATTAGTTTTTTACAAAAATGAATTATTAATAAGTTAAATATCAATAACTGTTAATGACATATCGCATACGTCTATTTATATTTACATTTATAATCTAAATAATAACGGTAAATCTTTCGATTTATTTCGTTTTAATATTTGATATTACATACACAATTAATAAGAATTATCATTCTGATTTTTCAGTTGTAATATTTTATTATAAATCTGTAATTTCATATACGTTTCTCCAATTGGAAATCGAATTAATGAACTTAACAAATAAGTAAAACAATTTTGTGATTATTATTATTATTGAAAATTTTTTAAATTATATTGTGTATACAAATTTTATTTTTATTTTATTTTTATCTATTTTTATCGCATATAGCTTATTTACCATTTATACTTGAATTATGCCAAGAAAAAAAATTCAATATACAATGTTTATTAAAATGTATTCATTAATTTCTTGGAAATTGTGTATATTTCGATAATCCAAATAAATTAAACGATTTACATAGTATGAAGATAAATAGATCGATCGACGAATAGTGAGAATTATATTTTATCAAAATCATGGAGATCGCGCGAACAATTTAATCAGAAAGAGCGCCACGGGGAAAAGCTCCGCGGGTAATGTTGCACGTCGAGTTACATATTCACGCGTATATTGGACGAAAGGAGAAAGAACTGAATCGAGTAGACGAGGCGCCGTTTTTTTTTGCGCCACCCGTTATAATTACTGGGGCCTTGTCACTTTTGCCGAGGCGCGGACCGCAGTGAAGTATCTCGTTCGTACGTCGCCCCGTAGCATGGTCGACCTGCAAGGTTGGCGGCTACCTCAAAGCAATCGCTTCGCTTACTCAACGAGCAAGCAAAGGAAGTGCAAGAGTAAAAGAAGAAGAAAAAGATGAAAGATCAAAGACAGAAAACAAAGGCAACGGCCAACCTCCAAGTCGTTGTACGGGTGGGTGACTCGCGTCACGAAATTGTCTCAGCACGTGAATTTGCAAAGCGCGTGTAAATAACTTACGTTTTTCATTACTCTCATTAATTTGCTTTGAAGAGAGAAAAATTAAAACGAATAAAAGAAATTACGATCGCACAAAGTAGATGATAAAATCACATAATAAAAGAAAATGAAGTAATGCAAAACAATATTACATTGATTTTAAATTAGTACAAAAGTATCTTCCGATATAATTATATAGCTAAGTGTTGAAGGACATCTACATGTTGTTCGATGCAATTTAATCGTATACGCGATGCACGAATTCAATTTTTTGTTCGCCGTTGAATGCGGCTTAATTGCATTCGGTAGCAAGAAGGATTTAAAATTCAAAGAGGAACAGTAGTGGGTCCGGAAAAAACCGGTACCTCGCCTACGTATTTTACGCCACTTTCTTGCGTGTACGCACGCGTGTATCACTGTCTCGCTTCATCGCGCTCTCTCGAGTTCTCCTCAAGGACTCTTGGGAAGGCCCATGTAGCCAGTAAGAGCTTCACGATCGTAACACGGTAGCCAACACGGTGGTAGGTTTAAATCATATTAAAGCGCATCCAAGCACCGGGAACCGTAAGCCTGGATTACTGCTACAAATCGTCCCGTACGGGGAATTCTGCGCGCCAAGTAATTCGATCGCTTTTCAAAGGTCCAGTCTAATCACATACTACCTGCTTTCGCTAATTCTAAATCCTACTTCTGCTTTTTTTTTTTTCTTCCAACTACATCAAAGATGTTCGCTTAATATTCCTAATGTGCCTACGTTTTCTACGTATCATATAAGCAAATAAAAATATATCTTTTTACATTTTATTCAACAACATTTTATCATCCACTTTTTCATTTACGATCATCAACACCGTTAATAGAACTCATCCTATTACGAGAAATATGCGTGTAATCAATAGTGCGATCTTTCTATCTGTATCAACAGAACAGAACAATACGAATGGCGCATGATAAAGTGTTCTCGTGGAAAGTTACGAAACAACGTGGGCAGCGACAGTAGAAAATGGCGTGGGTCGTGACGGTCTGAGACCAGGTGGAACGTGTTTATACAAGATACGACCTGATAAGACATTACCGAAGCTCGGCAGGAAGATATACTTATGCCAGACACGAAATGACCAATGGCCAAAACCATTGACATAGATTGACATCACATGAGTTTAATTTTCTAATATCTCAAGGATAAAGAATGAATTAATAAAATTCCGTTGGAAATTGTATCGATCAATTTTTTAAAGATAAATAATTCGAATTATAATAAATTACGACAGAGGTTCCAAAGAAGGTTGTCCTTGGAAATTATCAGCTGGGTTTTAAGACCCGCATCCAATACACGGGTCACGATTTTATTGCGTCTACGAGCGTGAATAGATCTATTGAAAACCTAGGCGTTCGTAAGTAGGTGACGCGAGATTGGGCGAGCATTCGTGACGAGCCATTGTGATTAGTTCCCTTCGGGATTCGGTTCGTGACTCGTAACGAAGATGAGAGAATACACGGCTCGCTTTCGTATTAATAATTTTTTATACGTATCAATTGTGATACAAATTACACATTTTTTCTTATTTATACGCGATTATTGAAATCGTGACACGTATAGTAATCGCGCGATTTGAGGAAAATACATATACGAATCGGCAGTTAAAAGAGAAAAAATCATGGATTCGTCAGGGTAGCTTTTACTTGATCAAAGCCACAGGACCATACGAATATGCCATCAATCTCCTCTTACGCCGCAGAAATATTCCACTTTGCCACCGCCTTCTCTATCTCTTCTTTTCTCTCTTCTGTTGCTTGCCGGGGAACCAGTAGCAATATTGTATCGCATCTCTTTCTCGCTGCTTTTTGTATCTCTTTTGTGTTCCCTGATGCACGTTCAGCTCCCGTTGTACCGATTGAGTGTTGACCCCGCTGCGTCACGCTCGCATGCTGCAGTTTGTTCGGAACGATACGCAATCAGCGACAGAAGCGAATTTCGAGCGTGTCTAAGTTCATGCCACGGTTTACAACGCACAAGCGATTATTTTTCAAATAACATTTTTCGATATCTTTTTCTCGAAAAAGAAAGAATGAAAACAGGAAAAATGAAACAAGTGATTCTCTTCGTAACGCAAGAAAGAAATCGATCGTCTCGATACGGGTCGAGGCTGAAAATGATTATTCGTTGAACAATACCAACGATAGATAACCGCTTCTGCGTACAGCATCGTATTTTTAGTCACGCGACTGCACGCTTCTTTGAGTGGTGGTTAATGCGTGCGTGCGAAGATGACCACGCGTGATGGCTCCTAACCTACACGATCCACTTTTCTTCGATCCACAGGGACGGTCAAGAGGCTTTCGTCCTCCGTCGCGATATTTCTTTAATTTTATTGGAAATTTCATTCATCATTGTCCACCTGCGTGTTATTTACGCACAGTAATCAAGTGGCAAATATCGAGTTCAAAGAATAAATTGAGTACGAAATTGGTAATGTAATTTACCTTCGAAGAATTTTTTATTTACACGCGATATGCAAGTATACTTATATGGAATTGAAAGTGGAATAAAAAAACGAGAGTTGATCGACATTCGTTATATATTTGTTATTATTACGCGAATCCATTTCAAGCATGAATCATGCAAAAACGAATCTTTTCGATCGAAAATAATCTATTATCAAGGTATAAGTTTAAAAAAAAAAAAATCTGACCAAGATGATCTTTGGAATAATGTTGATCTTTTATATAATATCTAATAGAGGACATGAAATGATCGAATTATTCATATATT